TATTTCTTTTTTCACTACAAAATGGTCCTTCATTTATCTCCCTCTTTTTTGTTTACTTTTGTCAAAGATGGATATTCCATTGTCATTCAAATATTGTAGGTACATGAATTCAGCAAAGTAATCCAATATAGTCCAGTAGTCCATAATAGTAGTGGGTTTTCTGTAGGGCTATCTATATCAGAAGTTGTTGACTTGAGCCTTTACAGTTCAGCATATTAATATAGATTTAATTTTTATTTTTTAATTAATTTTATTGAGAAACACAGCAATGAGATAGTTTCAAAACCAATTAATAGGACAGTTTCAATAATTAATACATTGCATATTGTTGTCTTTGTAGTGCTTATTCATAGTACAGGATGCAGACATGATATTGTGTCCAAACAGTATTAGTACAAATCTTTCTTCTCATTGAATTAAGAGAGAGTAGTTGTATATCTATCCTAAGTATTTCGTATGTGCAGATACAAGATGGTCCTTCATTTTTATGCCCTTTTTTGTTTAGTTTTGCCAGAGATGGGTATTCCACTGCCATTTAAATATCATAGGTGCATAAATTCAGCAAAATAATCCAATATAGTCCAGTAGTCCATAACAGTAGTGAGTTATCTGTAGGACTGGCAATGTCAGAAGTTGTTGACTTGAGCCTTTTACAGCTCAGTGTATTAATATGGCTTTACTTTTTATACCTCATTTTTATACTTTTCTGCTGAATTGTTAAGACCAAGATAAAGCAAGACCTATAGAACAAGAAATGTAACTTTTGTATCTGACAAGGTTCTGTGTTTAATCTTAACTGCCACAAAATTAAACGAACGTATCTCATCAATAAAAATGCTATGGTGACAAAGGATCATTACATCTGAATGCAAGTAGATCAGATGAGTCATAGAAAGCAAATACATGCAAGATTCAGTACCAAAGTCACAGTCCATTGAGGATTCAGTGTTATGTTTGCCTACACCCATTTACAGATATAGTTCAATTGAGCAATCTCTAAAAGGGGAGTCACCAATGTCAGTGGCTTTTGTGAATTTGATCTACCTGATTTGACTGTACTTTCCAATTCTAGAAATTAAGTACAAGGGCACTCCTCATTATTGTCTGCTTGTGTAGGCTTAGAGTCCTATGGTAAAAAAAAAAAAAAATACTCCCACATCCAATATCCTGATTCTATAGCCAAAATTCCTTACTGCTTACTACATGCTTCTCTGAATGTGCCTGGCCACATATAAGTCTCTGCTGCTGACACTTCCAGATGGATTCTTCCCATTTATTTTTGTCTGATTGACTCAAATTTCTTGTATGATGCTTCCATTTCCCAACTGATTTTGACCCATGTGTTTGTAGCTGTGTCAATCTGCCAACTGATACCTAAATCAGACAATAAGCTTTATCTGCTCTACAGAGGGTAGACTCTGATTTTGCTCTTCTAGGCCTTATCTGTATTTTCTTCAATTTTTTAAATTTTTATTAGTACATATTAGTGGTGCATACTAATGATATTCATCACTGGGAGTTGATACACTTACATAACACATCTCAATTCTTTCATCTTCTCCCTTCTCCCTTCCACCTCTCTCTGTTTCTGTCACATTTGAAAAAGATCTATCTCCTTATTTCCTATTATGTATATGTTACTTTCCTCTTTGTTTATGAGTTTCTCATATAAGAGAGACCATGTGATATGCAAGCTTGTGCATCTGATTTACTTCTCTTAACATGATGGTCT